GGATAGGGTCAGAGGACGAAGCAGACTCCCTGCCGAGCAGGAAGCCCGATGCGGGACTCGATCCAGGGACTCCAGGATCATGACCTGAGCCGAAGGCAGTCACTTAACCAACTGAGCCACCCAGGCGCCCTAACAGCTACTTTCTTTATGATATCTATTTGCAGTTATTTTGAGGGCTTTGATCTTTGGTGGTTAAGGTCATTAGCTACATGAGAGTTACTGCCATGTAACTAGATAGTCAGGTAAATTTTCCTGGGGTTTCTTAGATTCTCTTCTTTGTGACCTTGGGCAAATTGGTTGATATCTCTGAGCCTCCATTTTATAATCTGTATTGGTGGAGAAGTTTTCCTTAGAGAATGTTTATAGCATGAGTGTCTGGAATGCTCATTTAATGGTAGCTCTTGTTATTAGTAAGAGTCTAAGAGGAAAGGTTTAACATGAGTGAGGACAGAGGCATCAGCACTGTAAGAAACCTGAGTTGATTTAAGAATATATGCTCATCATGAGATGGATGGATCCTTTACCTTTTCTCCCTGGGTCCTCACAACAGGCTGTGGAATGAGGCTTATCACCCTCACTTTACTTATCAGCAAGCCAATGCGCAGAGGCTTTAAGTGATTTCTCCCAAGGTGACACAGTTTGTAAAGCTAAGAAGTTAGGATTCAAACGCAAGCCTGTTTGAATCTGAAGCTTGTCCTCAAATAAATCAAGAATTTAAAGTCTTGGTGTTGCTTGCTATTTATAGTGCACTTATTTTTGATGGCATCAACGATTGTAAAAGTTAAACGGATAATGTATGAAAGGCAATCTGTGACTTCACTTCTAAGAAACAGTAAGTGATTCTTTTGCTCAGTGCAGGCAGATCCTTTTCAGAGGATATATGCAAGTGTAGTACAGAATTAGAAAGCCTTATTTATACTCTGGGGCCAGGGAAATAGCTTTCTCACAAAGATATAAAGAAAGCAATGTATTGTTTAAAGAAGGGAGAGAAGATAGTGGAAAAGTCTCGGACATAAGGAATGAGAGTAGAAATTCCTACTTGAAAGGAGACTATGAAAAGAATAAATGCAACTAAAAAACAAACGTATGAGTATACCAGTTCAAAAAGAAAAACATATTGAAAAGCTGGGGCCCAAAGCTGGTTGGATATGCATTGAAATCTGGTCCTTCATACATTACTCTAGGCAATCAAAGATGAGAAATAATTTGGAGAAATGCAGGAGACTATAAAAGTATTCATATTCTTTAATTCAGTAATTTCCTTTCTGAGAATTCATTCCCGGAAAGTAATTCAAAATACTAGGAAAAAATGGAGATGTTCTTTGTAGAACTATCTGAATGATAGCTCTTTAAATACGTCTGTCCAACAGTTGGGTAATGGTTAAATCAATTATAATACTACTACTCCCTAGAATTTTATACAACTATTAAATCTTATGACATACATATTCCTTAAAAATACAGACTGAGGAATGAAGTACTAATACACGTTACAACATGGATGAAACTCAAAATCATGCTAAATGAAAAGTGCCAGAACATAAAAGGCCACCTATTGTATGATTCCATTTATATGAAATGTTTGGGATAGGCAAATCTATGGAGACAGAAAGTAGATTAGTGGTTGCCTTGGGCAGGGTGCATGGGAATGGGGTGGGGAAAATAGAAAGTGACTGCTAATGGGTACGTGGTTTCTTTGGGGGGTGATAAAAATGTCCTAATTTAGATTGGGATGACGGTTGCACAACTCTGTGAATGTACTAAACACTGTCCAATTGTATACTTTAAATGGTTGCATTGTATTTCAGTAAGGTTACATCGCAATAACAATGTTCAAAAAAATACAAGTGGAGTATTTAAAGAAAACCAAGTTATACAAACAAATGAAAAACAAACTAGAAGTAATTATAAACAAATACCAACAGTGGTTTGGTTCAAAGGGTGAATGTATGGCCGAAAATTGTTGCCTTCTCTCGTCCAAAATTTTTATAATGTGATTAGGTTTCTTCTTTCATTAAAAAATATAAATATAATAAGTATACTTATAAGTAATATATGTATATAATTAGCAAATAGAAGAACGATTGTCTTTTATAATTCTGTCTCCCCCTCCACCAAACCAGTCTTCTTTCTTTCTACTTTGTTAAGTCAAGAATCAAAAAATTTAGGGGCGGGGCGCCTGGGTGGCTCAGTCGTTAAGCGTCTGCCTTCGGCTCAGGTCATGATTCCAGGTCCTGGGATCGAGCCCCGCATCGGGCTCCCTGCTCCACGGGAAGCCTGCTTCTCCCTCTCCCATTCCCCTTGCTTGTGTTCCCTCTCTCGCTGTCTC